TGCTGGCAAATTTACCTGAGTATTTTTTCAAGTACAGTAGTTTTGCACAATTATTCTACCGTGGTGGTTCTGGTGCTTATGTAAAATGTCATATAACATGAAAAATGAGAGAAACTGACATATTTTTCTCATACTCAAGTGGTATTTTTTCAAGTGGAACAAGGGGTGACTTAGTGAACTAATCGCTGCTCTTTGACACACACAATGACAGTGAAATAATGTTAAAAAAGGCACTGAAGGTCCCTTGCAGTGGAGCATGGCTAGTGCTTTTAGCTTTGGTTTTAGAATGATTTTTTAAAAATGAGCTCGGACATCACATCAACCAGAATTTTGAAATTCTGTCGTAGTCCACTAGATGGTGATCCTTGTAAATCAGGAGTCAGTTAACTAAATAAGAGTCAGGCCATCAACCATAAAAAGCCCACACTCTAGTACGCAGAATAGAAAAACTTGGTTACAATATGACACTATTTGCATCATAAACCTATACAAACAAATTCCAAAGTATGGCTGAGAAATTGCTTGAGCATGTGACTGCACTGTGCCCTCAGCATTACATCAATAGGAGTATTGGGACCCAATCACCAAGAAAACTGAACTTGATCTCACTCTCTCCTCACTGCAGATCAGTTTGCAACATTGGAGCCACAAACTCCTTTTGGAAGCTCGTAATGAAAACTACAGCAAGGCACTGTGATTATTTGAGGCTGCTTTCAATGCACACACATTTAAGCATATTTGGTTTTCTGCATACCATGCAGAAATTCCATATGTAATCTTAACATAAAACAAAGGCTTAGGATATGGTAATAGAAATGTTTTATTAATCAAATATATTTACATTTCTTCATCTTCTTTTTAAATGTGTGCCTGTTATTTTCATTTCAACACAATGTAATCCTTACAGTTGATATCACAAGAATACAGCTACATGCATGACTTAATTGGTCCTTTGCAGTAAAAAAGATGCAACTTTATGAAGTTTAAAAAATCAAGCAAGCTGTTTACCTTTCTAATTACAGTGTCATTATTATTTTTATTACAGCAGAGGACCCCTTCAGCATACTCTACATCTATTGTGTGGATTTATGCACTTTTTTAGATTGGCTTGATGATGTCAAAACTTCCAAAATCTAGACAAAATATAAAAAAAAAAGACTTCATGCAGTCCCAGAATATTTTATTTTCTGGAATCTTATCCACAGAAAGGACTTGGATGGAACAGAATAGTGCTCTACTTGTAGTTTTTTTAAAAAAAATCATAGCAGTTGATGATTCTCAAAAGCAATGAAGACTTACTTTTGGACTTTCACCTATTTATTCATCTGAAATCACATCATTTTGTCAGCTATAAGACAGCATCACATAACGTAATGGCACCATACAAATAATAAATAGTAATTAAAAGGAGAGATGATGTTACCAAAAGAAAAGATATACACATCATTGCTTGTAAGTTTCTAGTATGTAATGTGCTGTAATTATTACATTATTCTCAACTCAGCTTTCTTTCATGGGAAGACAATCAAATTGTATTTTAAAAAATCATATTTTGGGTCTATAACTGCAGGTTCATAAAGGACCTAACGTCCTTCTGAAATGAATAATTCTATGAATGTATAAAATTTAACTCTACACTGAAAAAAAAATAAGAACTAGGCACAATTTTTAAATATGACTTCCAACGTGTTCAGTGTTGGACAAAAAAATTAAAAAACCAAGCTTGTATTTATTTACCAGACTACAAAACAGAGATGCCAAGTGCTTCAGAAATTCTGAAATGGCAGGCACATAATCACTACATTTAAAGATAATTGTACTACACTTACTGCTTCAGTTTACTGTGTGCAAACACAAACTGTATTCATAATAGACCTAAATGTATGGTTGTTCTGTCGATACATGAACAGAAACTCACTCAAGCATTCGGGAAGTGCAGACAGGAACTAGATTCTGTTTAGTCCAAACCTAGGATGTATTTTAGCTTGTCCATGTTAGTTTTACATTTGTTAAATTGTAACAGAATGCCAAATATTGTACTCGAGAAAAACCCACTATGAAATCATGGGTTTTCACTGAATTGCTTTTGTATGCTGCCAAATCTGTTGTGAAAGTGCCATGTATAAAATAATACAATAACTGAAATTGTGCTTAGGCATCGCACAACATAGTGATTTACACAAAGAAGAATTATTTGGAAGAAAAAAAGTAAGTTCTGCAGAAATCCTACTCTGATGCATTTTTTAAAAATCCAGTAAAATCTTGAAATAATTGATCTTTACTTCACGCCCATTCAGGAGAATATTTAGACACATGTTTAATTAAAAACATATAAGTAAGCCTATCTATATTCGGCAGGGAACTTGCAATATCTGTAAGCACATACTTACGTGCTATTTGCATTATAAGATTCAAATATAAATCCCTTTCTGCAAGAGGCTGAGTGCTCTGCACTACCACTAACTACATCCCTGAACAGGAGAGCACAGTTAGATAATGCAACAGCACAAGTCAGTGATCTAACAGATAGCTCACATTTGCCTTTCAGAGCATGACATATCTCTTTTCCCACTTACTCTATTTATAAATTTCTGGGTTGTTTTTGGTTTGGTTTGGTTTGGTTTGTTTTTTTTGTGGTGAGAATATCTATTTGCTTGCAGAAATGATCTACAGCTGCTGTTCAAATGTTAACTAAAAGCTGGTGCCCCACCAAGATGTTACTTTACATAAGTCTCTTAAACAACGGAACATGTGAACTACCAGGCGTGAGGGCCTGAAAGGTTTAGGATCAGATTTTGGTTTTTTCTGTTTGATCAGCCTTGCTAGGAACAACACAGTGTTCAAATAGTCACCTTTAAGTCACAATTCTTCCCACCCAGCTTCCCGTGCTTCTTTGTACCTAAAAAACAAACAAACAAACAAACAAACAAACACATTTATATAGTAGCTAAGAATCTCTCATAGCTTGGAGAATAAAATCAGGCAAGTGACGACAGAATTGTTCACTCCCCATATCTCTGCACTGAGAAACAAAGCTGAAAAACTCACAGGGCCGAAGCCTCTTTATCAGATAATCTGGTACTTGCTCGAACAATGATAACAAAATCTTTTTTTACATTTTTATGTTTTACATTTTTAATGGCCAAACACAAATACAGTAACTCCTGAATTAATTCCCTGCAAATTTCCTTTGGAAACTCCAGATTCTGCAGTGTAGTTTCTGCAATATAATAAACAAACATCCTAAAGTAAGGATGTCTCAGCTTTTAAATTCCTTTTAAATGTATTTGAATTTTACTGTATATTCTTTTTCTGCTTGAGCTCTTTGCAGAATTCATAAATCGTCTGAACCTGTTATTAAATTCGTAGCTGATTCTGTCTAGCCCTTTACAGAATTGGATACTTAATTCTCTACATATTTAAAATCATCCCCATAAATGTTTTTAAAATATTTAATATAATCAACTGAGCCCTTATGAGCCACCCAGCACTTCAGTTTTGGTGCAAAACTGAAAGAATATGTTTTAATCCCCATAAACTCCACAAATTTATTTTGCAGTTTTACCTTATGATATAGCATGACCTCAGAACTCCTTAGGTTTTGCTTCTTCTTGTTGTTGGTTGTTTCTTTTTTGGTTTTGATTTTTTTTTTTTTTTTTTACATTTTTATCAAACTACAGCTCTAGCATTGAGACAATCAATATATAAACAAACACTGCTGGTCTCTAAAAGTGAAAACCATTCTTTGATTAGACAAAATCGTGAAATCTGAAATACATCAAGGATAAAAGCTTGAAAAAAACCAATATGGAAACTGCTAAATTGAACCAATGTAATGACATCTGAGCTTTTTACATTGATGTTGGGAATATGTTGGCTTCCTTTCATTCACAACTGTACCAGGCAAATTTCCATGAAGTGAATACTATGAAGCCTCCAAGGCATTTACAAAGTATCTGAGTTCAGATTTAGCTTTTGTTTTGAAGCTCGGCCCAAGTATGTTGGAAGTTTCATCTAACACAGGAGCATTTTCAATTTGATTGAAACCAACAGAGTAAAAATATCAATGGACTACAGCTTGGATTTCTGATCAGTTTTCCTAGAAATCAGCGAGCCATTAAATCAATCACCCAAACAAAAAACATCCCCTTGGTTTTTTGCTCCTCATAATATGATTTACACATAGACTGGAATCTTAAACGTTTAAAATACTTTCTACCGTCTTTCACAGCTATTA